AAGACCACCATGGAGCTAGTCTTATAAAAGACAAATTCAATAAATTGTGGAAGACAGGAAGATTACTACTGGGGAAAAACAACTTCCTTGGGGATTTGGGGGGAAGCTCTTGCTCATGTTACCATGTGAAGGAGTAGCCCCACAGAAGAACTAAAGGATTAGGGTTGGGAAGAATTTAATCAGTTTCACAAGCCCATTTTAACCTAAAAGAGAAGGATTTGATTTCCAAAGTCTTAAATGGGAAACAGAATTCCGACTGAATCAAACCAGGGGAAGAGAAAAGAGGAGACAGATTCATTCACTTTCCAGAAATCAAAAGGAAAACATGTGCTTGTGGGAGAAGTGCCCAAGTTCAGGTTTAAGAGCTAATTTGACTCCGCAAGCACAGAGCATGGGGAGGGAGTGGGGGTAAGAGGGCACCAAGATGAACTGTCAGTATTCCCATTCTCTGCGGGGAGGGGATCAGCTAGACGAGGACATCAGATTCAGCTGTATTCATTTCTGCTCTGCCAGGCCAAGGATGCCAGGATTTTAAACGTAAGTTTAAATAACCAATAGGCAATGACATTTATTTTTAATATCTGCCCGTCTGAGAATTAATGCATCCGCTGAAATCCCTGGGGTACATAGGCAAAAAAGTTGCAAGGCATCTTTGTTATCCCAGCAATGTGGAATTTAGACATATGGTCTTGAATCTGCAGATGGCTGGATATAATATATACTATGAACCCTGCTATAGAGGGTCCCAAACAACTCTAAGACCCAAGAAACAGTGTAAGTGAGTTTACAGAGGTTAGTGGGAGGAGAAAACAAAACAGGAAGAAACAAGAAGAATTCAGGGCGCTAACTTCATCATTAGACAGCAGAAGTGGGCCGAACAGTGGGCAGATGGTCACATGTTCAGTGAACAACACTCTTCAGTGAAAAAAGGCAGAAGGAAGAGACAGCAGTAGCTTCTGTCATTATCAGCACCGTCGTCAATAAGTATTATTCGCTACAGTGTGCGTGTCATTGAAGGACACTGTTCTCAAGAAGCTTACAGTCCATCTAAGGAAACAAAACATGTACATAAACAGAAGAGTAAGGTAACAATTCTTAGAAGCTGCTGAGAATCCTCATATCACAAAAATATATACCCATCTTGCTGGGCACAAGCCAGCAGGTGACGCTAGACTCAGAGGAAAAGCCCCAAATGCCAACAGGATACACTGATCGTCCTTCTAAGCCATCCAACCATGCAGCAGACCCATGCTTAACAGGAGAGCTGTGATGTTAAGATATTAGGAATCACTGCCTGAGAACACATTAGACAATTGCCTTATGTGCTGTTTAAAACTGTCCATTTTAGGGGCACCTGGGTGGCTCAGTCAGTTACGCATCCGACTTCGGCTCAGGTCACGCTCTTAGGTTTGTGAGTTCAAGCCCCGCATAGGGCTCTGTGCTGACAGCTCAGAGCCTGGAGCCTGCTTCAGATTCGGTGTCTCCCTCTCTCTGCCCCTCCCCCGCTCGCAGTCTGTCTGTCTCTTTCTCTCTCTCTTTCTGTCCCTCAAAAATAAATAAACATTAAAAGAATTTAAAATTGTTCATTTTAGCCTCATGCTGATTTGGGAGTTACTCATCTAAAATGACTTTAGGCTTTAGACCTTCAGCATATTTTATGTTTATTTAGGAAGGCAACAAGTAGAGTGGCTTAAGAGTAAGGACTCCGGAATCAGATTTCCTGGGTTTGAATCCCAGTTCTACACTGACTAGCTGTGTAAGTGTGGCAAGTTACTTCACTCAGCCTTGGTTTCCTCATCTGTCAGTGGAATAACAATAGGATTTGCCTCATATAGCCATAGTGAGGATTCCATAAAATAGTCCACAAGGTACACAGCTCAGAGGATGGCACACAGCCCACAGAATCTTTCCTTTCGTTGTTATTGTCAACTGAGGTGGCTGAGAGCCAGAGCTGGTGCATGATGGACCCAGAAGGGGCCAGGGCCCTGCACAACCGTGGGCTTCCACACTGATACCTCTGAGCCCCACCTCCCCATTCTCGTGTTTAAAGGCAGGTGCGTGCACAGAGACAAGGAAGAGGCACGTAACAGTCTGAGGGAGTAACACACGAGGAAATATTATATCCAATACACCTGCTTAAAAATTACTGGTTCTGGGGTGCCTGGGTGGCTCAGTCAGTTAAGAGTCCAACTCTCGATTCTGGCTCAGGTCATTTGAGATCAAGCCCCACACTGGGCTCCATGCTAGGCACAGAGCCTGCTTAAGATTCTCTCTCTCTCCCTCTCCCTCTGCCCCTCCTCTCCCTCAAGAAAAATTACTGGTTCATATACATAAAAGATAAAAAGAAATTTGGAATTGGAAGCAAATAAGCACACTTTGTGAGGATTGAGAATGTGATCGGCACAATGGGTGAGAGTATTCCCTGAAGCCAATAAAATTACCTCCAGAAAAATGTTGTTAAAGATCCAGGGAAGTCATGTAGGGCCCCCTGAGTCTCAGAGAATAGCTTTATTTCCGCCCGCTGCCAGAGAACTGCTTGTAGCAAAGAAGTTGTGAAATCAAAAGACTGTTAATTAAGTCTGTTTTAAGAAAAGTATTGCAGGCCAAGAAGAGGAAGCTCTGATAAAAAGGCCTGGGGGGTGGACGTTCAGAAGCCCGTATTACACACAGTGGTGATCTCATGTGTCAGGCCCAAGTGCTATTCTTGGCCGAGGGCTCTGTGGCCCGGGTTCTTCTAAAGCTCTGCAGCAAATATCAAAGAATATGCCTTCCTCAGAGGTGCCCAGCCGTGGCAAAACATGTGCGGACAGCAGGCCCGGGGCCAGGTCCGTGCCTCTGTTCGGTGCTCTCAGCTCTGTACTCTCCTCCTTCCACTGCATGCACTCATTCATCGCTGCCACTATTGGTCTCCCATGCCAGTCTTCAGACTTCAGGATGTCTGATGCTATGTTTTCCATAGCATCTTAACTGCTTAGCTAAGAGCTATGTAAGCATACCATAAAGCATATAATAAGCCTGCAACAAATACCTGCAGAATTAACGTATAAGCAGATGAGCAAATGTGTGAGCGAGAACAGTAGCTTGAGGACTGAACACCTGCATTCTGCTCTTTATGGGGATGTTTACGGGGCACCTGGGTGGCTCAGTCCATTAAGCGTGTGACTCTGGATTTCAGCTCAGGTCACGATCTCATGGCTTGGAAGATAGAGCCCCACGTGGGGCTCCACACTAACAGCACGGAGCCTGCTTGGGATTCTCTCTCTCCCTCTCTCTCCGACCCTCCCCTGTTCTCTCTCTCTCAAATAAACTTAAAACAATATTTTATGGGGATGTTTACATTGGGCCTGATTATTGGTATTGCTTTAAGTATTTCCATTATATCTCAACTAAATCTTTGGGTCTCAGAGGACTGAAGAAAATCAGATCCTATGAGCATCAGTCAGGGAGGTAACTTCTCTATATATATGATTTTCAAGTTACAAATGTCTGCCTCAGAGCACAAGGGTTAACCAGGTAAATCTTTTGAATTTCTACTTTCTAAAAGGACACCAATTAAATTGGCCAAAAAGTATCCTTCAAAACCATTTACTAGATCAAAATGTTTTAAACAATCTCATTAGCAAATGATCACTATTTATGTTTTTTACTATAATAAGGTTTATTGCTAATGGAAAAACCATAATAAAGTATGTGTGTCTAGGGGTGCCTGGGTGGTTCAGTCGGTTACGGTTACATGTCCGACTTCGGCTCAGGTCATGATCTCACAGTTCGTGGGTTCGGGCCCCGCATCAGGCTCTGTGCTGACCGCTCAGAGCCTGGAGCCTGCTTCAGATTCTGTGTCTGCCTCTCTCTCTGCCCCTCCCCTGCTCATGCTCTCTACCTCTCAAAAATGAATAAACGTTAAACAATTAAAAAAGTAAAGTATGTGTGTATGTATATATGCATATGTATGTATATGTACACATATACATACACACATAGACACACACATATACATGTATACATACACAAACACACATATGCATATTTCCCATTTCCTGGGGTTAGTCCCACCCAAGAAAACCCAGCCTATTGGCACATTCAGTTATAACTAAGCACCGTAATTCACCTGCTGGCAGCTACTTTTATTGCTTACATCGTGTTTTCCACAGGGATGGCAAACACACAGACCACATGACCCCATGCCCCTGCTGTAAGTCCATGTAAAACATTGCTAATCCATGATGGCACTTTCTCTCTGAGTCTAGACACTGCCTCTGAATTGTTTTCAATACAGTATCCTAGCCAGCCACTACAAATCAATTAGTGTTGGAATACAAAATGAAATAGCTTTGCCTCCTCGGCCTACAAGTATATATTCTAAAGCACTGAATAAGGCATTCACATCAAGTACACAAAGTTTCACTAAATAACACTAGCCCATATTTGTGTGATGTATTCTGACTTTCTCTTCTCTTCTATCTCATTTTTCAAAACGCCGCTGGCAACCTACTGATTTTATAATCTATATACGAACTTTGCTATAAAGGACTACCTCTGTGACTTCCAAATTCTAAGGTCATGGCAAACAACATGAGGAAACTGTGTTAGCTTGGACCAAGTTAGTCGGTCCAGAGTTAGTTGGACAGAGCACTGGGCTCCTGTAACCATGAGCTTCTGCCCCACTGGGCCCTGCTAACTCTGAGGTCCTGAGCCATCAGTGAATGCCTAACTCTAGACAGTCATCTCAACAGGGCCCATCCTTGGCATGGGCAGGATGGGACAGGAGGAAAATCCCTTATTCTTTTGGAACAAATAATTTAGAATACCCATCCTTCCACAGTGGGTCAGGAAACCACTCATACCACATGAAAGACAATACTACCTGGGAGAAATCTCATTATTGATTGCTTGGTTCCCATAAAAACTACCCAAACTAGCTTGCTGAAATCACGTGTTCTCTCACTACTGTGTTCTCTCTGCCGGGCTAATTCCCACTTATTTCTCTAGATTGGAAAATTGGAAAATGTCCTTATTAGAGAAACATTCTTCTTCCCTAAACCACAAGTTTAGGTTACAAGGAACCTAAGGTTAGGTTAGGAGGAACCACTGAAAACAGGACAATGACAAAAACCTGGACTGTGTGGATTTTAGCAAGAAATACTCCTCTGTTAGAGACTTGTTCTAAAGCAAAAGAAATCCCCATAATTATGTGGGCAAGGGAATCACCACCGCAAAGTCTGAAGTATCAAATCTTAATTAAACATAATTTTAACCCAGAGGAATTTGCTCCTGTTTGGCAATTGGTAGTTCTATAAAAATTAGGAAAAAAACACCCCGAAAACAGAATGTAGGCAACATTCTCTGAGGCTGACTTTGACTTTAAAATATATAGGTAATCGTGCAGAAGTCAGGCAGAATCTTTTTTTAATTTTTTGTTTATTAATTTTGAGAGAAAGGGGGAGGGAGAGAGAGAGGAGGAAGGGAAGGAGAGAGAGAGAGAGAGAGAGAGAGAGAGAGAGAGAGAGAATCCCAAGCAGGCTCTGTACTATCAGGGCAGAGCTGACACGAGGCTTGAACCCACAAACTGAACGGTGAGATCATGACCTGAGCCAAAACCAAGAGTCTGACACTCAACCGACTAAGCCTCCCAGACGCCCCTCTCAGACAGAATCTTGCAACTCCAAGATGGTGTCTATAGCTCACAGGAAGGCTGGGGGAATGGGGAGGGGAAGGAGACAGCCTTTTAAAAGCAGCCAGCTGAAATGATCTGACCAAGAAAGGCAAACTTTTATTTCTGCTCCTAGGTTCAGATGATTTGAAGCCCAGCATAAACCAAAAGCTGTCACTATAAATCAAGAATAATTGGAGCAAATGGCTGCTTAGCACAGGAAAAAGACAGGGCTGAGGAAATGGAATCTTTGGGCTTTGAGTTCTGAAAAGCAAGAGCTTTACCTTAAATCCTAGCTGAATAAAACTGCCTCTTCTCATCTCTTCACCATAACTGGACTGGGAAAAGCTCACACATTTGTCGCCCTTTGATCTTCCCAACCCCTAAGATTCATTCAAGATGGAATATTCACCCTGTGAGCACCCCTACGTGTCTCTCTCTCTCTCTCTCTCTCTCTCTCTCTCTCTCACACACACACACACACACACACACACACACACACACACACAAGCACACTGCCATCTCTGTCTTCCTTTTCCTCCCTAAATACACCTGCTCCAGTGTTGAAAATGGATATGGTTGAACTCTACCACCAAATACTGAGTCACATGTTCCCAAAGACCATGTCATTTTGCCCCAGTGACAAAAGGGAACTCTTCCCCACTACCATCAAAATGTCTCTTTCACTTATTCCCTGCCTTTTCTACACCACACACACACACACACAAAAGAAACCCTATAGTATCAGAGCTGCAAAAACTTGAAGGACCACCCCCCACCCCCCACCACCTGGCCTTTACCACCAGAGGGTGGATGGATGGGGCATGAGCACCAGCTGCCTCACCCGGGAGCCTGCTGGAGGGCCATACCCTCTGGCCCCACTGAAGCCTGCAGAATCAGAGTGTGCCTGCAACAAGATCCCACGTGACTCACAAGCACACTCCAGTGGGAAAGACGCTGGTCTAGGTGGCACTTCTCAGGCCTGGCTGCACGTGAGAATCACCTAGGGAGCCTCAAAAGCTACCCAGTCGGCCCCCCTCACCTGAGAGCAAATTAATCAGCAATGTCAGGAGGCTGGTGTGGTTAAAGGCTCCCAGAGGTTCTGTCATGCAGCCAGGGCTGAGTGGCACTGTTCCTGTCCAAATCTCCCATTTTGCAGATGAAGACACAGAACTGAAGAGAGGCCAAGGTGACAGAGTAAGCTAGTAGTAGGGCTGAATTCAAATCTACCAAGCCATTTGCCCTAGGGTTCCTCAAGAGGCTGGACTCCCACAGTGGGAGTGTCTCCTTTCTGTGCCCTCTGGAGTCTGGCTCTTCTTGGGCTGAGTGACGTGTGAAGAAGGCTACATTCATAGAGGGTCATCCAAATTACTCTTTTGAGCCGTCCTGTACTCTCAGAGAAATCATTCACTCTGGCTTGGAGTATAGCCATAGAAAACCACATGACCATTACATTTCTGTCTGACCCACCACATGTGTGTGTGAAACAACCATATTTGCCCACCTCCCTCCTAGCTGGCTCACTCTTTTCCCCCTCTCTGGCAAAGCAGCCAGTACACAACACCCTGACAAAAATCTCTGAGAAAACCCAGCTCAGGGGAATTAAAAGACAAGACAGGGCATACTCCATTTCCTCGAAGCCCTGGGGAAAAGCTTCCATTGGAGGATGACTGGGGCCTGCCATCTTTAATTCAAAAAGCAGTGGGACTACCACCTGTAGGTGGAGGGCAAAAAAGTTGGTCATGAGATTTTGCCAGGGCACTGCAGAGATGGCATATGGAAAGCCCAAATGTCCCTGCTCCTTAGGATCCTCTCACAGAGAATGCAGTTCCTTATCAAGCACAGACCAGCCTGAAAAATGAGACCTAAGAATAGGGGCAGGCGTGAGGAAATCTATTCAAAGACTCAGACTCTCCGAGGCTGGGGGGTTTTCATGTGGAGGAAAGGTTTATCTCCCTGTTTCCCGGCAGTTCGAAGGGCAAAATGGACGAAGGCAAAAGGACTTACATGGAAAAATCAGCATAGAAGGAGGAGGAGGAGGAGGAGAGAGAACAAGAATTCAGGGGGAGGGAAATGTGTAGTTATTAAAAATAAATCACAAAGGCCCTGCTTTTCACTTTCTGAATTTCGATACCCGAGAAAAACGGCTGAACCTTCTGAGATAGCTCAAATGCAAGGACTAGGAACGATTTGGAGGCATTCCACTGGAAGGCCTGGTGACATGGCTGCGGCTCAGGAAGC